TCTGCCTGCTACTAGACACAAGAGATGGTTTATGGTATATGGTGGTGCAATGAGCAGCAGTGCATGTGTCTCCAGAAATAATATAGGGTGCACTTACAGCATCATATTTTGAAGCAGAGGGCTGCTGGTCAGGATTTGACAAGTTGGTAAGGAGAACGTGTTTCTGATGAAGCAGCACAAAGTAAGTTATGATAGTTGAGATTGGATTTACACATTTCATAACTACATCTGTTTCTGACATCAATCTGCACCCAACTTGAGGAGTCTGTCAACAAGAGCAAACAAATATGCGGCAACAACAGAATAACGTGAAAATGGAAATAACCACATTTAATTCAAAGATCCAGTGTGTAACATTTAGGAGGCTCTGTTGTCACTAGCAGTAGTGGCTGTAGATAGAAGTTTTGTGGCCACTGAAGTTTCTCCTACACACTTCACAGCCCATTTTTATTCCCAGGTCGTCAAATACAGAAGCCAGCAGTGTTCAGTTATTTGCAATCTATTCACTATCTGATGCTAAATCAGTATTTAAAGTGTTTAATGTGGACAAAGCAGGAGTGATTCTTACAGTACCTGTGGTCCACAGCTGCTTTATCCTGTCTGAAAAGTCTCTCCTTCAGTCCATTAAATCCCTGCAGCCAACCTGAAGGCAGCAGGACGCAGACGCATGATAAATCTGCAGCCTCTGATTTGAAAAGTGCCACGCCAGGGAGCAGTGCCATTACGCACAGCCTGCCATTCACATTCTCACACACTGATCGGAGCAGGCTACCATGCAATGCCTGCCCTTCAGGAGCTATAAGTGTCTTACCCAAGGGCACTTGAATATGGAGGACAGGAGGAGCCGGGGATACAATTGGATTACCTGGGCTCATTAATCTTGTGAACCACTGCCTCTTTTCTCAAATCAGCAGGATTTGTTCTATTCTTGAAATGCATTATGAAGTATATGCTGCTGTGTCACATTTCAAGATGTTAAGGTTTAATTTACAATATGGGATGCAGTTGTTATATTATGACTGAAGTACACTATAAAAGCTGAGGATTAGTTTAACTCAAACTGAGGAAACGATTACCGATAATTTATTAACTCAAACAATTTAAGCATGAAAGATATTTGATTTGAGTAGAAGTAACTCAAGTATGTATTGTTAAGGTAACTTGGGTAAATTAGGCTAATTGTACCAATTCCATCAGTAAATTAAAGTTACACTCATATGCAGCATTTGTCCTTATTTAACATATTTATTTATTTATGTGTTTTTCGAATTTGTCTGAATAAAGTCACTTAAATGCATCTTTACCACCAAGTTAAAATGTACTCTGTTTTCTTCCACTAAAGCAGATTATTACATCACCTGTCAAAACAGCCGATTTATGATAAAAACATGTTATATATATATGTATATATATAATTGCCGGATAATTAAAATGGCAGCCAAATAATTTTCGGTGTTTTTATCCCATGAATGTTGTGAAGAGGGGGTTAGAGGCCAGTGTCCTCTTCTTTGCAGTGGTCTGTTGGGGGGAGGCATCGGCACTGGGGG